CCAGCTCGAGGAAGAAAACAAAAAGAAAGATAAAGAAATTTCGAATAAGAATGAATTAATAACAGAATTCGATGAACAAGAGACAAAATTAAAAAACCGAATACGGGAGATATCAAAATCTGCAGGCAATACCCCCAAAGCACAAGATTATACAACCAGATTAGTGGACGAGAATGAATGGCTTAAACGAGAAATAAATACGGTAAGAACTAATCAAATAAATAGGATTAACAAAATAACTCAACAAAATAACTCAACAAAAAAGTCGTATTACAGACCTGCTTTGTTAAAATTTCGCATTATCCTTATTAAGATATAGAGATAGATTGGAGCTTATAAATACCAGAGAGGCTTTGCAAAATGCACAGGTATGGAATTTTAATGAAAATGAATCTGATTCTGATGAAAATTCTCTAGACTTGTATAATTCTGATGATAATATGGCTACAATAGCTGAGTTGGCCGATGCGATAGATCGATCCCTAAATGATACAACGATATGTAGAACCGTTTTAACAAATCAAATTAAAAGATCAACAAGATCAATCCGACGTAAATATACTAACCTGCAACAAGATCTGGTGAATGAACGATGGAACCGTGACATATATAGGCAGAAGCGTGATCAAGCAGTGCAGAAGCGTGATCAGTTACGGACTAATGCTCAGAATCAAGTAAACAGAATGATAGATCATGTAGCAAGAAAACAAACCCGTATTGGTGAATTGCTACGAGAAAAATTTGCCTTACAAATCTTATATCGACGAAATGTCCACCACCTACAACGATGTAGAGGGGATATAGGTTTATTAGAGTATAATCGAGATAGGCTCTATAAGCGATATGAAAAATGGAAAAATAAGATCCATGCAGAGCGCCAGAATATTTTAAATTTAAATCAACAAATTTTTGCGCTACAGAATAATCAACAAAATCAAAGAAATATGGCAACAATCCCGGCACCAATATTTTCAGGTAATCACGATGAAGATGTTGAGATTTTTATTAGTCGATTATCAGCATATTTGGCTGGTATAGATGTGAATCCAGTTGGTGCAACAAGAAATAGAGCTTTTGGTATTCTTAGAGGATGTTTATCTGGACTAACATTAGATTGGTTCGATCGAAAAATTCTTGGTAAGCGATGGGAGCTTCATAATATCCTTGCAAATCATGAACAAGCCAATATAGCTGGTGTTCAAGGACGTACTATGGCACAGATGAATACTAGCAATAGTTTTAGAAATCCTTCAATAGCCCATACCTATGCTAATACTCCTGCTAATAATGCTGTAACAGTAGGGAATTCAATGATTCCAGCAAAAGCTTTTATTGAAGATTGGAGCTTAGCTGGAGGACGCCCATCGGAAAGACCCGCCAATGCAGTAAATGCAGGTAATAATAATCCTATTATATTTGATAATATACGGATTGGACAGGTGTTATATTGGCTCAAGAATGAATATCCTACAGTGCTTAGTGAAAAGCGCAATCTAGTGTTTGGTTCATTAGCTCAAGGGGATGATCCTCTAGGAATATTTTATTCAAAACTTAGAAAATATGGACAAATGCTTAAACTTGATGAGGAGCAAATTAAAGGTCAGTTTTTACGTGGCTTATCTCCTGATCTAGAGGATGATACAGAACGTATTGGTACCGAACAACCCTTAGAAGAACTTTTTAGTACATTAGAACGAATTGAAACACGCAGATTGGAAAAAAGACTAGGATTAGTTACTAAAATATCTCAGTCTAGTTATAAGCCATCATCTAGATCTCATGAAAAAGATATTTACTCAAGCAATACAGGTGTGGGTAGAAATAAAATCATAGATTTGATAAAAACTACAATAGCTTCCTCACAACCTCAAATAGCTCAACAGAATGCCGATTTACAGTCTACCATTAAATCCTTTCAAGAGACTATGTCTCGAGGACTAAAACTCTAGATAATAGTAAAAAATCATCTAAGAAGAGAGCAGAAGATACTGCCATTAATCGCTTTTTGAGTGACTTACTAAGAAAAAATCCAGTTAAACACCCTGCCGATGAATATGATCATGATCCTATAGAAGATATTTCAGATAGTTTAGCAGGATTAACATTAAATAGTGTTATAAAAACTGCTGTTAGACGTGCTGTTAAGAAATCATCAGGTCACAAATGCTTCACCTGTGGAAGATCTGGACATAATTCCTGAAACTGCCCTCGAAAGAAGAAAAAGAGAAGTAAGAAGTCTAAAAAGGGTAAGGTTAATCTTGCTACAGTAGATTCAGATTCAGATTCAAGTACTTCCTCCGATACTTCTTCTAGTGATAGTTCTGACTCTGATACAAGTTCAGAGGATTCCTCCGATTCTGGAGGTGATATTACCGTTAATATAGCTAAGTCAAAAAAAAAGTGAAGCAAGACTCTAGTTCCAAGAAATCGTCCCTTAAAAAGACATCTAAAACTTCATTGGAGGAAACTATTCGTAAAGTCCTCCAAAGTGAACTTAAATTAATTTTTCCTGATCATTTTTCCCAAGACCTCATTAAAGCTAATATACTCAATCAAGCACCTCTAACCCAGGAAAAGATAGAATCTCAATGCAATACTTCTCCAATTACCGAGGTTGTATCGCTAGATCCAGATGAGGAAGAAGATTTGGATGGTCCGATGGAGATTGATTTCGTTAAGAAGAAGGAGCCAAAAACAAGTGTCGCAACTGTAAAGTGTAAAATTAAGCGCTTAAAGATTCCAGCCATGACAGTAGACTCTGGGGCTGAACCTCCCATTATAACAGAAAATATTGTTATACGTGTGGGAGCTAAAATTGATAAATCTGAAACACACGATCTTAGTGGTATTGCCACTGTTCCGGTTGAATCTGTTGGGGTTGTTCGCAAATTACCCATTACTCTAGCCCCAGGCTGTACTATCTATGAAGATTTTATTGTTGTGAAATATCAGAAGCCGATGTTAATATTTTCTAATCAGCTTTTGAAAAAATACAATTGTGCATTGGATTGGAAAACTAATGAGCTAAAAATTCCTCTTAATGGAAAAGATTATATTATTCCAGTCACTATGCATAAGGTCAAGAACAAGCTTGAGGTGAATTGCGCAAACATAACTCCGGATTGTGACGATTTCTCGACTCTGGATAACATATCACAGGACTCACAGGAGTTGAGTAGGTATGATGATGTATTAAAAAAAAACGCATGAGCTATGAGGAGCTTGAAAAAATATTGTATAATACTCTCATTTTCAAAGCTAAATTAATTGAGATTAATAAAAACCTCCGATCTCTTTTCCCTGTTAACTAGATATTCTAGCTTAGCGAAGTGTGTTGAGAATTATTTTTACTGAATATGTTAAAAAGGTGAGTTGAGAGCAAAGAGCTTTTCTGATTCACGCATAGATTTTTCTGATTCTATACGATCTTTTTTAATCGAAGCAATTAGATCATGTGAGACATCTAGTAAGGAGTTTTGGCAGGGACCCACTGCCAAAATTTCAGGTAAGTCAGAATTTCGAATGGATCCGGACTTTAACAGTTTCTTTTTCTTTTTTTGCTTTTCTTGCACATTCATCTTAGCGGATGATGGTCTCAGAGGGACCCCCACGATCTCAGATGATTCTTTTGGAGTTGACTCATCAGGCGCTTCGCAAGACGGTTTAGCATGAACTTCTGAATCATTCTCTGAAGAGATGGAATGAGCTCTCCTAAGCTCCTCAAAGGAATGGTTTTCATTTTGCTGTAAGCGCTCGCAATCGTTCCATATATCATAAACGCGATTTTTATTGATATGATATTCTCTTACTATTATATACGTGGGAACTTGATTTTTGAGATGTCTAATCTCTCCAATTTGCTCAGAAGTCAAGACTGTAGCACCTCATCGATAATGAGTTTTAAAAAATGATGTAGTCATAATTCCCAATATATTTTTTATTCTTAGTTATAAAAAAATGTTAAAAATCAATATTTAGTGTTTTAGATGAATAAAATATATTGGAAATAAATATTTATCATTGTAGAATGGAATAGAGCATTAAAAAATATAATTTATTGATTTAGATAGATAAAATATATTCTAATTCACTATCTATAATTAATGATAAAAAATAATCGATATCCTTCATATTCATTCTTTATTTATCGCAATCGTTTTCTAACAAAAAATATGAAAAGTTTTTTACATATTTATGGCCAATGTAAATAAATGGGAATACATGATCTTGAAAAAGAGATACACCGCATCCTGCAAGACTCATCGAAGATACGAGGTTATAATGCTAAGTTGCGAAGTGAATATATAAAACTCAATGATGAAAATAGGCGGTTGAAGGTTGAAAACTCCAAACTAATATCCCAGAGTGTTTGTGCAGAAATATCTCTTGCCAAATCTAAGGCCGATAACTTTGCAAAATCAGAGGAAGTGAAATCGCTTCAGTCTGTGATTAATTTATTGGCCCCAAGATACTCTGACAACAATCAATCAGATTCGCTTGTAGCTGGTAGCGAAAAAATTGATGAGCCAGAGGGGGTTAATACTTCCAGTACAATTATTCCTAACGCATTCCCAGAAGGACTAGATAGTTCTATACAAGAACAGAAAAATAATAGCATGAATTTGAAGACTGTTTTCCCAGAACCAATCTTACCTGCTACTTCGACAAACAAGATTTCATTAGGTGGCGCAGAAGGGATGGGGTCTCAAAGAGACCTGGCCAAGCCATCAGGTATCCCTATCATTGCAGACAAATCATTGTTATCAATACTCACCTATTCGTTAATACTTTTTTTATTGATCATAATTATATTGTTTATTGTTATAAAACAGCTATAGAATATATGGAAAAAAACTGAGCAATATATTCAGAATAGCAATTGGCATTCCCGACATATCCAAGGCCAACTGTATGATCGGAGGCCGGAAGAGGTCATCTTGTGACCAGATCTAATATAGAAATTGAAGTTAGCCGGTATTATAGTATTATTGCATGAAAAAAATATATAAATAATATTATACAAAGCACCTTATGACTAAGTTTTCTTAGCTAGAATTACCAGACCTCACTAAGAGTATTTAACCATATAATTCGATGATCTCATCTATATCCACTTCGGACGAATTATCTTTTTTATCACCCTGTAACTTCGATGACGCTCGATAGCATGTGATTTCTAGGCCAACCACTTTGTACCACGTGTTCCGCAAATCAGCTAATATTTCATATCCATTTTCTTGAATATATGTTAACATATATTTTTCTAAGGTCATGGCTTTAGATTTGTGCTTACCGGCCTTAGTAACTAATTTATACATTTCTTCTCTGCTCCCTATATCGTCTTGGGAAATTTCTGCAAGTAATGTCGTTAGCTTTATGCGAATTGATTCCTCCTGCTTATCTAATGCACTGAGAAAGGAAGACCAATAAGCATCATTTCCCAAGCATTTTACTATTTTATTAGCATAAATGGTATCATATAATTTTTTTGCATAAATACTAGCTTCTTTCCATAGATGAGATATGATAATCCCATCTTTTTTCGGACCACCATGTAGGTCTTTGATATATGCCCCAACCCACTTTTCAGCTGATTTTTGCACTAAGGAATCTCTTAATTTCGATACCTCATCTTCATCCACTTCGGCTTCATCCACTTCATCTTCACCTGCTTCGTCTTCATCTGCTTTGTTTTCACCCGCTTTATTATCATCTTTTAACTTTCTTAAGGCTTCCAGCAAAGTTTCAGATGATGGCTGGTATCTATCCTCATAATTGATAAAGCGCGCACAGAGTCCGACAACGTTTTTCAAATAGTAGTTAATATCAATTTTTTTATCAAGACGTCTTGCCACTTCCGGGTACTCCATTTTATCCCCCACCTTCTGTGATAAATCATTTTCAACTACAATGTACTCAAAACGTTCACCTGGTTCTGGAATTTCATAAAGATAAGGCTCAGGTGTTAGGCCCTTTTTCACGAACCGTTTGGCGTCGGCTTTTTCACGAGTATGCCTATCTCGCATTCGTGAAATGAAGCACTGTACACTCTTGTTATTTTTATCGGGCTTTCACACAGCAGTTTTAATTATTTCATTAAGATCTATCTGTGAAATACCATTTACCATTTCCGCGAGTACACCCTTCACGATCTGATGCAAGGTACGTGTATTATTTACCCTGGTAGATTCTTCTATAATACGTTTTCCTATTTTACGGAAAAGACTAGACTGCCCCCATTTTATAGTCTCAACTCCCCGAATGAAAAGT